CAGGGCAGGTCTCGGGGTAGTCTGTTCTGCAGCACATGGGGTAGCTTCGTGTTTTGTACTCCTGGAATATTTTTTTGCCCAGTGAAGGCCCAGTGGAATTAATGGAAAATTCCCTGCTCGTTGTGTTGGGCCGAGACCCAGATTTTTACGTTTTGTTCATCTCCATCCTCCCTTGCTGGTCTCTGGATGAAGGATTTCACCTAAGAGAGAAAACATTACAAAGAGTAATCCGAGCCCTTCCTGCAGTCTGTCACCTAAATTACACCAGAAATATTTCTAGTTTAATCAGTGCAAGCGTTTCCAGGAGTAACCCACACTAACATGGGAGTACAGCCGCTCAAAGCAGCTAAGGCAGTATACACCTTCAACTGTTTCACACACTATCTTAAACATTGCAAAGGGAATGAAAATACATAAATTCATGAACAGAGAATCTGAAAACCAAAATACAGTTTGAAAGATAAGCACATAAACATTTTACTGAATAGTTGCTTTTACTTATGAGAAAACTCACAAGCAGACCGAGACAAAGCAAGCTCAGTCTTCTTTAAAGGAGTTTACCAAGACAGCTTCCTTTGCACAGTGTAATTGATATTTCTGAGATTTCAGCGTACACACACCACGACCTGCACGCGTGCACGACTACAACAGGAACTGGGCTTGCAGCACCCCAACGCCACCCAACCACGCCAGGGGTGAAGCGCGCTCATGCACCGCTGGAGCCTGGCTCATGTCCTCACAGAGCCCAGAAAACCGCAGAAAACAGCTACATGAGAAAAGGTGCTGCCTTGTCAAGTGACTGCTGCATTAGAGGCAACAGCCCTGCCACGGGGGACACCACAGCGCCAGACACGGGCAGGGGGCTTCCCTTCAGCCCCCTGCTCATGGGAGTAACCTGGATGCAATTCCCAACACCCTCCTCACCCACTGCTTTAACTAGGAGAGGTGGGAGGAGAGGACACAGTTAAAAGAGATCTTTCTGCTTCTCTGGGCCTTCCCCCATCTGACCTGCACCTCCCTGATGTCCTGCTGCCAGGGGCAGCAAAACCAGCGCACAACTTGGTGCAGGGCTTCAGATAAAACAGGTCTGAGCTTTCTTGGCCAAAAAGCAGACTGTCAGCTGACACACAATTTCTTGAAAAGGAAGAAGGGAAATAAAATCAATAAATCTAGCCTCTGAAGAGCTACCGTTAGCCACAGTGGAGAAACTACCATTAATTCACTGTTGGCACCCAAAGGGAGCAGTCTGTGCCTTGAACTAGAAAAAAAAAGCCATAGAAAAACTGAACTAACCTAACTAGGGGAAAAAAAAGTGTGCTATGAACAATTAGCTGAAGGTTAAATCTTTGTAGTCATTAATCCCAGCAGGAACATAAACGCTTTTATTTTCTGTAATGTATGTATTTTATAATAAATATCTAGCATTTTAAAAATAAACTAATACTTGGATTGTCCACTGACACACCGGGAAGACTGAACCAGAAAACCCTTTCTATCTTTAAAAAATTGATCATCTCTAAGAATACCAAGATTATTTTGGAAAAAGAAAATATTCAAATGCAACAAAGGTCCCCATAGTTTAATTAGTTTTACTGCTTTCCATGCAAACAGAGTAAGCAAACATTTAGAGCGAACAATTAGTGCCTCTGGGTTAAAAGGGGAAGATGAAAAGCGAGAAAGTAACCAGAACTTCAGCTTTAATGAAGAACGATTTCTCCCATAAGGTCACGCCATGTACCTTGTGTATTCTTGTCCTTTCCACTTACCTTTTCCTCACTTTCTCCTCCTTCCCTCTCTCTCTTCGGGCTCAATTCCAGATGTTTTAAGGTTCCTGTGTTCTGCCCGTGTCAGTAGAAAAGAAATGCCACGCGGGCACCCACATCAATCTGGGACGTTCCCACCTTTTGGGCAGAACCCCAGCTCAGTACTATCACTGAGGAGCCAGCGGACAGAGACAGTATCGAGGAGTCTGTCCAGAGGGATTTTGTATTCAATTACATTAAAATAGCTGTAGTTATTTCACTGCAAGTTAAGGAAAGACAGTTTTTCTCCTGCCAGGCTTAGGACCACAGGACACAAAGTTTAACTCACATCTGTGTCTCTGAGTGAGAGGTGCCATTTCCCATATACTCCCTCTGGACAGGACTGCAGGCTCTCCACGACTTTTGGGCACAGTTTCCCTAGACTGATCTCCTAACACTTACGTGCCAGGTTAGCAGATATTAAGAGCCCATAAATTCCACTTTGGAAGCATGTAACAGCCGTACCTAACTCAAAACACAGCGTTAAGTAGATCAAATGCAGCAAGTAAGGGCCCTGAAATGATTTTACCACTGAGGACCAAGTAGGTAATTTTCACTCTCATCCTCATAGCTGGAATTATAAAGCCAGTATTTAATTGGCATAGACATTACCAAACCAACTGCTGCCCCTGGAAAAGGTTTGCTCCTGGGCCTGAATTCCCACAAATACCGTGAAGAATAACTGTACAAGCCGCTCTTTCTGGCTGGCACTCGGATATGCTCAGTGTCACTGTGCAGACCAAGGCTGAGCCACACACACCATCTAGTGGCAACACCGACAATGTGATGGCGGGGATTAAAAATCTCACCCATGAGACAGAACCAAAGAGAGATCATGGCTGATGCCTGCAATGGGCTCACCATTCTGCTGGGAACCTAAAGCTGCTTCAAGACAACAAATCTTACAAACAAAATTGTAAGTGGTATTCAACAAGACTGGGTGCGTGATATTCGTGGAAACACTGAACTACAGAACTTATTTCAAAGCAAAGCAGCGCCAACACTGAACGGGAATTCTGAAGAGAGGCAGGAGTGCCAGTGAGATGTCTTGTGTGCTTCATACAGCAACCGTGCTCAGATGTTTTCTGCTGCTAACAGGAAACATAAAACATTTGAGCGCACTTGCTACATAGAACATTACTAATCAGGTCTTCACTTTGCAATCCAAACCCAGCTGATTCAAGCAGCTTTCTGGTCTGCAGGTCTAGAAAGTAAGTACAAGAAAGTCTTTCTGGAATTACCAAGTTTCTTACATGCTTTCATTTATCCCTTAACACACTTGGCTCTCTTCGGCGGTATGTGCCACTCTTCACCTTTAGGAATTAAGTTAAAATATGAATTAGACTTCAAGAAGGTTTGAAACAGATATTGGATTTATTGGTCAGCTATGAGTAGGAAAATACATTGGTAAAGAAAAAGAAGACCCTGTATATAAATATAATACTAACTAGTTAAAATTTGACCAAGAAGAAAGTTCCACTGAAGAGAACAGTAAAAGCCCTTGTTTACCATCAGACCATATTCAGTTTCCCATTTATCTTATTGAAGAGCTGCCTATAGACAAATGCAACATTCTTTGAGCTTAGTGCAGATAATGTGCTGGTTTTTGTTACATGAATGGTAAACAAGAGTTAGTCCAGTGCATTACACATTATACAGAAGTACTGTGAATAAAGACTAAGATACTCTATTTTAGACACTACTTAAACATACCAAGACACTTAAGTGTTACAAATTTATGCAACCAAAAGAAAAGAATAGCAGTTAACATACTAAAAAATACTGTGTCTGGCTGGATGAAGAAGGCTTGCTACTTAAGCGGTTAACTGAAAAATTTTTAAGTTTTACAGTGTAATTAGTTGCTTCCCCCTCCAATGGTGGTGTAATTATTTTGCCTTTCATACAGGTTTTGTGTGGTCGAAAAAGCAAACCATAAGCTATTTTCCAAATCTGCTCTAAAAAAACAAAACACTTGAGAGATTTGCTAAAGTCACATCAAAGACTCATACATAAAATGTTCTTAAAGTCAGTTTGTCAAATGCTAGCCAAATTTATCTTTTTTTTTGTTAAATCTGCTAAAAGGACAAAATAATTACAACACACATCGACTTACATGCTCTTTCCCTCCCCCCCTACTTGTGTTATGTTAAAAGCAGTAACTTGTGGTATTAGTCTTGTACTCTAATCAATTCTTTTAGTTAAAGGATATTTCAATTTACACTTTGACACCCAAAATTCTTGGTAAATGTACATAAAACTAGATATGGCTGACTGTACTTTACGTGGAAAAAAGCCTGGTCTAACCTAAATAAATCCTTTCAGCCCCAAGGATGTTCTGTGACTTTTGCTATATGTGCTTTTACAACAAGAACACTGAAGGTACATTATGGCAACACCCAAAACCACCTCGAATAAAAATACTGCAAATAACCATTTTATGTTAAAAACTATGAAGCAAACATTTTGATTTTGTGAAGACACAGTTTATTGCCTTATTCTGTGTTATAGCTGGAAACTGAGACTTCTGAGTTAGATTTGTTTGACACAGGAATATATTTTCTTTGAAAGATTGTTTTACAAAGTTTATCTCAGCTCTGTTTTGGTGCCACTTGGCCTTTCCCTATACTCAAAATATTTCTCCTTCCTTCAGCCCCCAAGCCATAGCTGCAGTCCAGTTAAAACCCAGTGAAGTCAGGAGTGTCTTCAACGTACTCAGTGGGTTTTCAATTGGGACCTGATGCACTAGTATAAAAGCTGGAGGAAACAGTTCTTTCAATGGACCCTTAGACCGGAAGGTGACTAAGCAGAACAGTTGTGTCTCCAAAAGCACAAGGGGCTGTATTTTACCATGCTGTCGTAAGTTCAAATATTTTTTAAGACTAAGCAATACAGGAGAACACATACTGGATAAAGCTCAAACCTTTAGAATCTAACAAGTGCACTCAAGCTCCAGCATCTATTAAAGTAAAGTAAATTATCCCCCTCTAAAAAATACAAAATGAGTAAGTGCTTCCCTTCCCCTTCTGTAAAGCTTTCTGGACTCATTACACAATCCAGATAATCAGAAAAGAAAAATAGTTTGCTCAGTCTGACAAGCTAAATTGGCTCATCGTCACTGGAAATTGTCATGATGTACATTACCAAGACATCATTAAGGAAACATGAGTAAAACACCTTTTATTCACACTTTACAAAAAAAAACCCCAAAAAACAAACAGAAAAAAAGTAACACTACGCATTAAGTCTACTACAGCAATACTACCAGCATTTCAATGTACTGATTATAAACTGGACATGTTTGGTGTTTTCACAACTAAAACCAAAACAAAGTAACCCCAAGAGATCAGGTCCCAGACAAGGATTCAAGATCAAAATTTCTCCTATTGCAATTTTAAAAATGTACATTTTACAGAACCAAACCGTTTGCAATTTTTACTTTCAGCTTAAAACAGAACGGTTTGAGCACGCTTATGTGCCAACTACTTTTCAATAAAATTTTGAATCATTATTACCAATCCACTCTCATATATATAAAAAATTCACAATATCTAGAAAGTTTTCTCTTAATGCTCAGTGTCCTTTTGCTTCCCTGCCCGCAGCTGAAACAAAAGCTGTTTATGACCAAGCTCTCTATCTCCTTTTTTTTTCTTTACATTGATTATTCAAGTTGTATTAGTTTAAAGAGATGACAAATTCTCCCTTTTAGGACAGAAATAGACAAGTTAAATTTGTAAGCTGTTATATACTTGGCTTCCTGACACAAATGGCACTGAGGGTACACTATAACTTCAGTCTTGCTTGACACTTCTAAATCAGACTTGGTCACTTTAAAAAATGGTCTGATGAATTGTCTTTGGGACCTGTATTGAAAATGCTTTTATTTTACACCGCTTCATCAATAGCAAATGTAAGGTCGGGTTGTTTTTCTTCAAGGAATTATACTTTCTGAAACTGAGGAACTCACTTAAACAAACGAGAATTCACATGATAGTAATTCTTGGTGGGAAAAAGGGCACTGTGCAATGACACTGAAAGAAGCAGTGCATGGGTATTAGAAGCTAGAAACTGTGTACCCATAACCTGAACATGTTCCAAAAGTGTGATATTCAATGCTTCACAAAGGAAAAAGAGATGCCACAGCTTATACAAAAGTATCTTCATAAAATTTTCACAAGTGTTAACATTATTTAAAAAAATAAAAGAGGATGCACAGGATCTCTCTGCATGCACAGGCAGTGCTAGTTGAGAACAAATTGAAGCAGGCACAGTGGAGAGAGAAGTATTTAAAACAGAAATGAAGAAGCTGTACACAAGCATCCCTAAAATTTACTTCAAAAGTTAGAGATGAGAAAAATATCTGAGTGTATACACTTCAGCAATAACTTTCAATCCATACAGGTCTTATATTCACTGCTTAGCTTATCTGTTCTGCGAGAACTCTATGCTTTTCTCTTTTAAATCAGAAATAAACAGAATGTATGTAGTTATCTCTGTAAGACATTAAGATTTTATAGGTTTGGATTTTAAAAGCAATGTTCTCAATTGAACATAAAAAGTAGTACAAAAGGGCTAATGAAACCCTAACAGTGCAAATCACTAGCAGAGAAAACCTGTGACAACCTCTTTTACAAGCTGGCCTTTATAACACATGAAAACAGATAAAAATTTAGCCTTAGTTTACAATACAATCATTTTCCAAATCTGATTTTTTCTTTTTTTTTTTTAAAGTACAAAATCTCATAAATCAGGTTCTGTTGTTCATATACAATCAATAAAGGCTAAATTCAAATTCTATATTTTACAAACAAGTCTGAAAAAGGAGGGAGTGAAGTATGGAAGAATGTTCTGTGAATGCTCCTACTGGCCTCAAAAAAGTAGTGCTACAGATAACTGTGCAAAGAGAATATACTGTATAACAATTCCCTATTTCAAGGCATGAAAATGTCACGTTGGATAAAAGAAACAGGAAGGTTAATTGTAACGTATTAAAGAAAGGTGCAAATGCACCAATCGCTGTCGAACAGTATACAAAGTATATTGGGCTCAGAATTGTGTCTGTTGATAGCACCTGGCTTTTACTATGTCTTTAGCAAATAATTAGATTTAAGATTAAGATTATTAAGAAAAAAAAAATCCCTGTTGGCCATACCTCACTCCTCTATATTCAGATTTTACAATTGTACAAGTTAGATTGAGGTTGCCCTCTAAAATGTACTTGACTACCTCCTGCCAGGGAGATGGATTCCATTTACAGGAGGCAGGAAAGGCAGCAAAAGCTCCAGTTGTGCAAAAAGTGAGAAGTGGTCAGAAGGGATGAGTGGATGTGGACAACCACTTATATTGTTCTCTATTAACCAATGATGATCCAAAGGTCCAAGAATGCCAAGTATGTTTAGCTGAGGTTTGGAGTAGAAGATGTAGTCAATAATACCCTAAAAAACAAGACAAGACAGAGAATTGATTATTGGTATGTACTCCTGACTCAAGGTATTGCTCCAAACCAAAAAGTAAGCTCAGTATTACGACAAACTAAAATGCTACCACTCCTTCTCCCAACTTCAGAGGCTTCTGCTTCCTGTATCCCAGGGGCTGCTCAATGCAGATGAGGAAAACAAAAGAACAAGTATGACTTCTGCTCTGCTTTTGTGGGTTGTGATTTCCAACCTCCTACAAAGCTTCATATCGCCTCCTCTAATTTTGAAAAGTACCACCTTTGCTTCCCCTGAGCAATGGAGCACTGAGAGTTTTCCAGCAGCAACACAGATTAAATTCCTTGCAGCTGACAGCTTGAGTGCCCCTGTTCATTTAGCCTGCGGTACTAAAATACAAAACCTGCCTATACACAGGGAAGGTTAACAGCACCCCAACTCTTGCAAATCTATTACAAGTTACTAACAAGGAAAAGAAAATTTAGCTTCTAGGAGACTCTGAGTGTTGGGCACTTTAGTTCACCACATTTTAATATAAACGTGGTGAATTCACTGTTAGCTACCCAAATGGATTAAACTTCTTTGTTAAAAAACTTCATAGGGAAAACCACATCAATTAAACTTCAAAATGGAAAAAAAATTCAAAATATCAGCCAAGTCTTTACCTTGAAGTCAAATGTGTAATTTGTATAAGGCATTAGACCGTTCTCATAGGCACTCTTCAACTTGAAACCATGCGTAATTCTTCCATTTGTTGTTCCATTTTTCCCATTACAGCTGAAGTTAGTAAGACTTTCATTGTATCTCAGTTCCTTAAAATCTTTGTGGTTTGTTTCCACTCCACCAGTGCTCAAGTACTCAACAACACCTATTAAGAGAGACACATACACACAAAAAGGTATTAACAAGCATTCAGCAAACAAGTATATGTAGATTATTTCAAGTCATACATGGAATCTTATGCATTATAAAAGCAAAACCTTAACACATATACAGTAAAGTCAGCCGTTGTTCTTAAAAGGTATTTCAAGGCAATGTGTATGTATGTCAAGAGCACATGTAACAAAATGAGACACACTTTATTCAGAAAAATCTAGAAGATTCATTAGGAACAGACTGATGGGGGGAAGACGGAAAAAGTGGAAGTCAAATTCTATAGGCGCCAGGTAGGCAGCTTGCTCCTCTCTTCTTTTCTAGGCTCAAATTTCAGCTTTCAATGTTCTTTGATTGAAATGTTGCAAAAAAGGCAACTTCTGTAACACTGCTTCGGATAAAGTTCTCCGGAAAAGAGGCTGCAAAGCCAGACTGACAAGTTATTTTTGGAAGATATTTTCTTCCTTTCAATTCCTGTATTGTAAGATAACAATGACAATGCTTCTGAAAGACCAACACACAGCTATACTACTGCATAGGCAGTAAGGTCACTCACAAAAGAGTGAGCTCTATCTCTTCTCTCTTCATTTTCTTGGTACCTTTAGAGCTTATGATACCAAACAACGTATTCTCTAAGCTGAAAACTCCTTTCAAAAAAGTGAGATCCTAAAATTTAAGTTGTTACACACGTGAAACATTCTGAAAAAGAAAAAAAAAAGAAATAGAACTCTTACCAGAGTCTGGTAGAGAATTGAGATCTGCACACAGTACAAGTGGAATGGTTCCAAGTTCTCCCGAAACACCAGGTTTGAGACTACGAGAAGCTTTATCAATAATGTTCTTTACCTCGGACAGGAACATCATAGTTTGAACCAGCTTCACATCAGAATAATCTGGGTCCCAATGCATATGTGCATTAGCTACAAGAACTAGCTGCTTTTCCATCCCCAGAGGTGGCTTTCCAGCTAAAATTTAAAATCAATTCTTTACTTTACATGGCCAGCAACAAAAAACATTACTTCTTGAATTTTAAACAACATGCTTGAAGGGAAGAAAAAATAAAATAAAATACCAGTGTAACCTGAAGAGGGTTAATACCATTTAGTTTAAGAGGGTCATACAACTCCTCTTGTACCTACTAAGTGATTTAGTTGATATAAAGCACTAGGAATAATTATGTTTCACATTCAAGACCATTAACAGACAGATTATCCTGTTACAGGTGGCACTTACACATTTAAGAATATTGTGAACTACCATAAATAACAGATAATCCTAGTGATGGGCAAATAGTGTAGTTCTAAAGAGTCAGATCAGTCTTTCTCAGTCGCAATGGTAAACAGGCACTGCTCACATCTTATTAGGCACTGAGCTCTGAATTTTAAGTTACCCACATTATAAATGTTACCTCTCTTACTAGAAGTGCTTCTTAAAAGGCTTGTTTGTCAGAATCTGAATTAATAAAATATCATTTGGATAAACATAACACAGGTTGAGTGGGTACCTACTGAGATACCTATAAAGCCAATTTACACTTCCTAAATTAAGAATGACAGGGCAGAACAAGCAGGTTGTGTAAGCATGACAGTGAAGAAAATAACAAGCTAACATGATGTAGATACATGACCCAGAAACACGTGATTAACACCGACTGAGTCTTTGATAACTGTACATAACTGCAAGCAAAAAACAGCTCAAATTCAAGTCTTTGTATCCTTTAAGTGAAAAAGTCTAAGCAGAGAAAGAAAATATTCATTTAAGCAATACGACTTCTTCCCAAATCCTCTTTGGAGACAAATCTGTCTGAGTATACAAGGTGCAAAGTTATACTCAACTGTAGAGCCTAGTTTCTCTGGTTTCCTATAAGAAAAGTAATTTTTTCATTTACAAAATACAATCTATTCAAAAATTTAAACCAAGCAGAACTTACATGACATTTCTATCAATTCCTTTCGCAGTTCTAACAATACAGCAACCCCAATGTTATCTTTTGTCATAACTCTGTTCAGCATAGCTTCCGAACCTTCTGAGTTTGCCATAGCCAGTTGATTGAACTCAACAGTATGTTTTTGAACCAAAGTAAATCTGAAAGAGAAACATTATATATGTTTTTTCAGCAGCCAGATACAAGAGGAAATGTTACAGATAGTTGTCCTATTAATTAAAGCTCAAACACATTTATCACGTGAAAATCTCAGCCAACTGAAATCCTAAACTGAACTCAAAGGATAGTTTTCGAAGCAATTTTTATGTATTTTATACTAACTTAGTTCCAATTAAAAGATACAAGAAAGAGTGAAACACTATAGAAAAGGAGTGCTTGTTTCTAATTCTGCACCAGTTTCTAGTTCCAAGATGAAGGTTTAGTAGAGAGCGGCTAGATCATTTTTCTGGGTCAAATGGCATCAAAATTTACTGGTGGACACAAAGGAAGGGAAGCTGGAAGAGAAAGGGAAATGAGTACCCCCATACGTAAACAGTTGTACAAGTACAATATGACACAGCCAGTAAGTGCTGCAGCTCTTAAATCATGGCTTTTTTTTCAGAAGTGAGCAGTGACATTAAGTGCTCTGTCTTTTGCTTTATCAGAAAGCTTATGTAGCGAACAGTCAATGCTATCTGAGGCATTATTTCAGCAATTTTGGGGATCATCAATTCCTTTACTCAAAAAGAAGCAAAAAAAAGTCACAGAATCACAGACTATTAGGAGTTGGAAGGGACCTCAAAAGCTCATCCAGTCCAACCCCTGCCAGAGCAGGATCACCCAGACCAGGTCACACAGGAACGTGTCCAGGCAGGTTTTGAATGTCTCCAGAGAACCTCTCTGGGCAGCCTGTTCAGTGCTCTCTAACCCTCACAGTAAAAAAGTTTTTCCTTATGTTCAGGTTGAACCTCCTATGCTCCAGCTTGCACCCATTGCCCCTTGTCCTGTCATTGGACATCACTGAGAAGAGCCTGGCTCCTTCCTCCTGATACTCACCCTTTACAAATTTATAACCATGAATGAGGTCTCCCCTCAGTCTCCTCTTCTCCAAGCTAAAGAGACCCAGCTGCCTCAGCCGCTCCTCATAAGGGAGATGCTCCACTCCCTCCATCATCTTTGTGGCTCTGCACGGGACTCTTTCAAGCAATTCCCTGTCCTTCTTGAACTGAGGGGCCCAGAACTGAACACAATATTCCAGATGTGGTCTCACCAGGGCAGAGTAGAGGGGAAGAAGAACCTCTCTCGACCTACAACCACACCCCTTCTGATACACCCCAGGATGCCGTTGGTCTTCTTGGCCGCAAGGGCACATTGCAAAAAAATAAGACATTTGTTTCATTTTTCATGGGACACACACAATCAACAACTCAGGTATCATTTAGTGAACTCCTAATCTGCATTGCTCTCACAGAGCAAAACTTCAACTTAAACAAAACTCCAAGGTAAAATTTTCTATTGCTACACACAGAACAACTCCAACCACCCTATGTAATGTTAGGAACGCTCTACGAGAAACACTGAATGGCTACAAAAAAGGCAATCAATGCCATACTGGTTGAGCTGCAGACTGTCCTAAGACATTATGTGAAAGGGAATAAGACACACAAGAAGGCTTTGCAAAACACATCACTTACTTTTCTGTTTTGAAAAATATTGCACAACCATCAACGTGTTTTCTTTCCTGTTCTGACATTGTCCTAGCTCTAGATTTTGGACTGAAGAACCCATTGTAGCCACGTTCTTTCAATTCTACCAGGAAAAAGCTGTAGTACTGTTCCGTTGGAACCTCCTGTACAGTTAAGACAGCACAGTTAAGACAGCACAGCATGAATGTACTAATAACAAAATACAGAAGACTGATGTTATTTAGACTCTTTGAAAGCGTAAATCACTTTCAAATTAGATTTAGGAAAAAAAAGAGTAAGAAACAAGTACATCAGAGAATGCAAATTTGAGAGAAATATTCCTATTTTAAGAAAATATAAATGAACTTCTGTGATCCCCAGAGTTATGATTATCTCGAGCCTTTTATTTGAAAATGTGTCAATTACAGCCCCACATGCACACGCAGGCACAAAGACACCCCCACGTACATTTCTTTGATCAGCAGCTGCTGGTTCACATTCCAGCCGTGTGGGCTGAGAAGCATTCTTTTGATGTCAAGCAACAAATAACGCTCTAAACACTACTTCTTTTTTCTTTTGTTTTCAGAAGGTTTTGAAAACAGACCATTTACCGTAAATACATTCAATGTAGAGAAACCAGCACATGGGAATAGAAAAGGAAAAGAAATAAGAGCACGCCTTTACCTGAAGACTTATGATGTCAGCATTGCAGCTCAGGATTTCCTGCATAATGGCTTTTTTTCTGTATTCCCAGTTCAATGCCCACGATGGACAATAGCCATACAGCTGCCGGGTAGCGTACTTATCGCAGAGTACGTTGTAACACATGACAGAAAACAAGGCTGCAGAACAAGAATTTTACTTACACACCTATACGTTTAACACACAAAAATCCCCCACATATAACTATGTTCTTCACTTTTGACTTCTGCAAATTTTACCAATTCATGTTTCCTTTACTTCAATCAAAACACAGTTCACATATCTATACTAAAAAAAAAATAATTGTTAGTCTTAAGAACATAAATTACAAGTGTGGATTCATGGCAGATGTCTTCTAGCATTTAATTACAAAACAAAACGCAAACCCCCTCCTTATAGTTTATGCCGTAAATAGCAGACAAACGTACTTTATGCTAAGTGGTGCTTTACTGTGAAAAGCCTAAAACAAGGTCGGTGTATGTGAACACTTACAATTGCTATCCAAAAGGTCTGCAAACTCTTCAAACAGATTATTTAAAATCTTTCTTAACTATTACCACTGTGAACTGTAGCAAATCCATAGGCAGGGTAAGGATCCCTTCGCACAATGAAAAAAGTACAGGCAAAATAAAACCCCAAACATTTCCACCTCAGAAACCTCACCATTCAGGTGTAAAGACAAGAAACATCTACCCTCTGTACTCATTTGGAACAGGAGCAATAATGAGACAATTTGGGACAACTTGACAGCTAACCCAGCAGCATGGATATTTGGTTTTGTTGGGGGTTTGTTGTTTGTTTCCACAAAGCTCTAAGGAATTTGCAGTGTAATAATGAGATATTTGGAAGCTTGTTGGGAGCTCCTCTCAGAGGTGGAGTACAACTAAGAAAAAAAAAAAAAAACAAGACAGTTTGAAGGTCTAGCAAATTGAGGCAACAACCTCAGGCTGACTGGGGGTCAAACCCAGCATTTTGAAAACAAATGGGTGACAGCAAAAGACAAGCTGCATTAGCATCATGACCTTTGAAGCAACCGCCTTAATAAAATCAACAGGGCAAAGTAACATGCACCAGTCTTGAAAGAGAGGACACTGCAATAATTGAGGAATACACTTCAGATTTTCGGTGTGCAAGTAAACAGAAAAGGATGTATTTTACAAATTCATGCACAAAAAAAATGAGTAAACACGTCCTGAACCTCAACAGGAATAAAAGAGCTGAGTCAAAGATGATATATTGGTTACTTAAAAGAAAGAAAAAAAAGTCTATGTTTTTTGAAAATCATGCTCACGATCTTCCATTTTTTTATTCTTCAACAAATGTTCAATTCAACTGTTATAATTCAACTGTTTAACTAATCGTGGACAACAGTTTCAATTCTTGTGAGGAGGAAGTTAATTAAAAAGAAGTAAAAGGTGGGTAAATGTGAAACAGGCGTTCCAGTTGAGACAGAACTACTTCAGCTGGCTGGGCAGCACTGCGCAGGTGATCGGTTCATTTAAGCACCAAAAAATTCTCAACCAATAGTAAAGATCCACAGCTTTTACAAGAAACAAAAAATAACAAAAATAGTTACAGTACCTGTTGGCCTTGTACGGTCTGGTTCCTGCAACATAATCCAAGATCTTGGAGGTGGTTGTTCTGTTGAAACTATGGGAACATTTAAAGCAGAGATACAAGAAGTGATAATCACATTTATTTTACATAGCAGAAATAAATGTATTAGGAATGATCACTTACTTCTTTTTGCAGTACCTGCCAAATTATCAAGCAAATAGTTCAGTAGCCTTCGCGTCCCGTCTGGTTCCTGATAAAGGTTCAGAATATCCTGTGTCAGTGGATTTCCTGCAAATGCATTTACAGAAATTTTAAGTGAGGTACACAGAACCATTATGAACTTATGTATCAGTGCTTAAAGCTGGCCCCTCTGAGATAAGATACTGCGTCTACTATGAACTACTTAGAGGTCTCAAATCTCAGGTCTCCAATCCCTCAAAGCACTGGATGTGTGAACAGCTCTAGTGACGTTAACCATGCTCCCCCCCTCCTGCGTCTGCTTCCTGATCGCCCACCCCAAGGGCAGCTGCTGGGTCTGAGAGCGGTGGAGAACTGGGACCACACACAGGCAGAGCTGGCGAGGCCAAACACAGGAGCCACCTCTGCTCGCTTTGCTCGACGAGTGGAACATCCACCATCGGTTTATTTGCAGTCATATCAGAGTAGAGAGCCTACCATCTGCCAAATGCATAAGCGGATTGTGTAAGTTTTCATGGAGAATGCACATTGCAATTATCAAGTTTCAAGGGGGAGAAAAACAGGCTTCTGAGACAATGTTTAGAGGTACTGCATCACTCAGCTCTCCTGATTTTGTGACACAAGTTCCCCCAAGGTCAGCAATTTTATAGCTAGAATCCATACAGTTCAGAGAAAAAAAAAAGTTGGAAAAAGATTTAAATTGCTGCTTGCATAAACAGCACAGCACCCTACAGCAGTACAAAGTATGTTCCTTTTTTGGTTGGAGCTGATACCTACAGTTAACTGCAGACTATTTCTTAGGTAAAGCAGCACTGTATCCAACCTGCATGCAAAGGAAGGCTTCCTCTCACTCTGCAGAAAGTGAAGCAAACCTCTTTGTATGTGGAGTGCTTCGCCAAACTCATTCTTTTTCTTTTGTTAAATAATCCCCAAGTAACAGTATTTAGAAACGTGTAGTAAGTATCTACATCTGAGATTGCTATTTGGTAACACTTTACGAACTAGCAGTCTATCACCATTACATCTCAGAAGCGATATCACTGAACAAAGCACAGATACCAAGAAAAAGCAGTAATACCTTTCAGACCCAAAGTCTGTAACTGGAACAGTTTTCCCAGCTCAAAAGGTAAAACTCGTAACAGGTTGTTATTTAAATGTAGTTCCCTGTAGACAGAGCAAGAATCATATAAGGCTGAAAACAGACAAACATTTGTCTTCAGTAGTGTAATACAAGAAGTTTAAAAGAGAAACAATGTACAAGTAAACCACAATATTGAAAATCTCAAAGACTAAACAGCAATAGTTAGGGTAATCTTGCTGTACTCAAAACACACACAGACAAAACACATACTGCGTTGAAGTACAGAGGAAAGTAGCTGGTTGGTGAGTTAATCTTAACAAGTCAGAAATTTTGTATACATCAGCAATAACTAAATACTCTAATAACTGCAGGCAATGAAGCAGTAACAGCTCTGACAAACCAGATCATGAAACAGTTCAGCTATCACTAAAGCCAACTAAAGGGAAATTATACCCCAGAAAACAAATAAGCAAAAAATCCAGGATTACCACAGTATGATTGGAGCTATGACATTACCACAGCCATTTAAAAACCGCGATTTTCTGTTTGGGTTTTTTGGCATTTTGTTTGGGTTTTTTGTTCATAGTTTCAGTCTTAAGATAAAATACTTGCTTTTTAACTTACAAAGCCAACATGCAGACAGGAACAGAATTGATGTCCTGAATTCTGATATCCCAATGAACTGGGCAGAGAACTGGACTCATTAGGAGCCTTTCACTTTCTTAAACATACTCCCATCTAAGCAGAGGAGACTTTCCTCACCATATGCAACATAAAGTTGCTAATTCCAAGTGTTTATAAATTGGTGCCTAGGGACTTGTAAAGTATTTTGGGAAAAGAAAAAAGGGAGAAAGTAAAAAAATAAAAAGAAAAATAAAAAGAACGGAAACCTGGATGCCAAGAGTTACCTTAACTCTTTTAGAGATCTACAAGACCGCATTTGAAGCTGAGAGACACAACTCTTCTTCTAGCCTTGCATTTTGAAAGTAAACTCCACCTGGTCCTTCCCTACAAGGACTTCCTGAGAAATTCTCTCCATTTCACTCAGTATTCAGAAACCTTGGTAAAAGTGAGGTGGCTGGTTTTAGAGTCACTCTGGGGGTGTAGTACTGGACGAAGATACAGGAGGGGACTTCCTTTTTATTTCACTGGGTTATGTAGAAATGCCACGTCATTGCTCAATCGACCGCCAGACCACAGCACACCTAGCCAATGGTGGTGTTTATTTCAGTGCAAAATCCCACAGACAAAAGCACGTATTTTCAGAAGGCAACTGTGTCATTCTAGGGTTTCTAAGTATGAACAAGGCATATGGCAGGTAGAAAAGAGGATGAGGATGTTAAAAACATTTTTTTTAAAAAATCAACATCTCAGCACTTCCATAGACATTTGAGATGTAAAGGCTACTATTTTCAGGGATGATTTTCTATATGACATTATAAAGCTACTAGTTCATTCTTTAGGAAGTTACTGCTCCCTCTAACAGTTTTTCAAAGCACTGCTGAAGTCTAAAAAAAGTTATGTATGAATTACAAAAAAAATATACTGAATTCTTTTAGAGGAAAAACACCGAGCGGAAAGAACGGCACAGTAGTAGGTATCATTACGCTTTCTCTCTTGTATGAAAGAATTATTTTCTCTAGTGATCTTTGCCTCCGCAGAACCCACCCCCTCTGCACAGCAAAGGGAAACAGAGCAAATCCCCCGACGTCTTTCAAGCATATCAAGAGAATGTGTTTTACAGCTGAGATTTCTAAGATAACATCTTCCAGTGTTTCTATTTTCTTCTCTTTCCACAAAGATCAGAAATCTCATTGCTCTGACACCTCTTTCTTCAAGTACCTGCACTAAACAGGAGATGCATGGGGCCTTCACCCAGCTTTGCTGTACAGACCAAACCCAGAGCTGCAGATGTGGGAGCTGCAGGACCTGTTCAATTCTCACGAGAGTACAAATGATTTTGGTGGCTCAGGGCATCAGCTCTGTGCTGCATTAGCGGTCATTTGAACACCTTTCCAGAAGCTATGGGAAGTGACTGCAGTAAGAGCCAGCCCGAAACATAAATCTGCAGCAAGCTGAGACCTGCAGAGCACCATCGGGTAGGATTCACCAAGGGGTTTTTATTCACTTTCACACCAGCGAAAAGAAATCATGGCTCAGCTGCAATTACTGAGGACACAGAGAGCACAGTGGATTAACATCTAGAAATTTGGATTCAAGTGTTATGTTTAGGTCACAAATAGAAAACTACCACGATCCTAGACTCTGGCTACACATTTCACATTCAGATTTAGCCTTCTCTACTCAGAAGACACTTCGGACTTGGAAGAGCTGAAGCTTCATAGAATCAGCCAGAATAAATTGGGGAAAGTGTTGGGAAGAAGGCACAGTATCTTTTGACACTGCTGACGACTACACAATGCTAAGCTAACTCCACATCATCAGTGTTACGCTTACAATATTTTAGAAGGAAAAAGACTGATGAAAATAAAAGTATGCTAATGAAATACAAAGCTGAATTTGAGAATATTCCAGTAAATTTAGGATCACTAGCTCACAATACCTGAGCAGTGGATAAAGGAGGGCAGAAACCTGTTACTATGAACTGTTTTTAATTTAAATAGTAGCACAAAGCTTTCTTTAGAACAGATGACTTCACAGCTGAAAACAACTATACAACACACTGCGAAACAGAGCTGCCAATTATGTTCTAAAAAGCAAGGTCCCTTTGCTCACCTCCAAGGTTGAGACTTTAACTGCCTTGGAATTTGAGCTTTTAGAACCAATTTAATCAGCTCATTTAATCCTCCCCAACAGAGTGGACTTTTCTAAAGTAGAGGAAAATGCCATGACTGATATTTTTGTGTGCAAACTTGCTTTGCTTCCAGTTTCATTAGAGTTGTGCTGGCAGTCCATTTCTCTATTATCTTCTTCTTTACTTCTAATAACAGTTTCATTACTTTTAGACTCAGCATTTTCAAGATTTGAGAAAGGTGTCCATAAATGTCCTCAAAACTAAAAGCAATGAAGGCAATTACTGGTAACTGTCTAATAAACCTACAGAAAGACTCTGTCTTTGGCTCAAGAGCGAAAGAATGTTGCCTGTAAATACTTACTCTTATATAAATAACTTACATATCTACAAAAAGGTGTTTTTACAAAGTGAAATGCTGCAGCCTTAATTATAATCTAAATAGGCATCGCTATTCGTGCTTCACTTCCAAAAGGAGGCATTACTCCATGCAAACTTTGCACATCTTGGCACTGTAACACTGAGAGGGAAAAAAAAAAAAGTGCATTTTTTTTCCTCCCCAGTTTGCACAAGAATGCAGTTATAATAATTACTTAAGATAAATAAAGACCAAAAAAAGGAGTTAGCATGATTATGAATGTTTAATCTGACCTTTTTCCTATCTTACTGTGAGTTAAAAGCAATTTTTTTGTGCATCAGTATGTCTTAGAGAAAAACGCCACGAAAAGATGTGTAACAGAGTCTGGAAAGAGATGCATGAGAGCGGAAACCCGACTTGGAAAAACACACAATGAGTGACTGCCATCAAACTGAGCACTCTGAACCTCAGTCTGTACTGTCACACACGGGAGCAGGAGCTCACGGCTGCACAGACCACACCACGTGTTCAGGGAGACAGATAAAAAAATTAAGGAGGGGGAATTTATTTATGCTTTTCATTTACTGGAATGTAAAAGTTATGCTGAAATTTAACCAAAAGCACAACTTTAACTCCTGTGGAAATGTCCATACCTGAGTGACACCATGTTTCCGAGCTCTGCTGGTAGACTGCGAATTTTATTAGAGGACAGGTCCAGATATACCAGATTGTGAAGCTTGGCAATGTCTGAAGGAATACGGGATAAGGAATTGTCACTGAGATGCAAAGCTGTCAAATGGGTCAGTGTCCACAATGATGAACTTAAGCTTCTCACTTTCCCTGTGGAAGGAAGGTACAAAGGAAAATAGAACATTTAAATATTTGGGTATTTTGTTGTGTTTATTTAACTATTATTATTTTATTCAATGAAAAGTCCATTTATCGCCGATTCTATAAATCAAAAATTCAGCAGTGTGTAAGACAATGCAAGGTGTTGCCAGGGATGCTTAGGTTGTTTTTTTCCAATCCATACTTAAGGTTTAAACATCTCTTTTTCTTAACTTCCATACAAAATGAGACACATTTACTAACTGACCATGAATACAATAATTAACATAAGTGTAAGAAAGAGATGGTTTTCAACTACCGTTTATATTTGCCTCTTATTTCTGTGTAACATTGTTCAAACCAAAAAAATCTATATTCTATGGCATTAATCCAGCCAAGAACAGATAGAAGCACTATCTTTAGGGTGACTAAAATGCTTAGTTGAGAACATGGATTTCCATCTGGCATTCAGCTAAAAGCTGCATAAACTATTGCCAGATATTTTTAAAAAATGGTATGATCTTTGTATAAACTGAAGGATGGAAACATGGATTTGTGTGACAGAATCAAGATTTTTACATTTCTGCAAGTAAGGAATGTGAAATATCATCAGAAGGTCTCAAAACATTCCTTCTATCCAAGATTTCTCCTGCCCAGGAGTGGATCCTTTTTCTTTTACAGAAGTCCTCTCACTGTACCAGAAGCATCAGAAGAGTAATAATACCAGTTCATCCAAGGCAAAAAGTTATTTGTGACAGCCTTTAAAAACTCTACTGTGACTCACCACTATTAAAAATAGTCTGGTTAATATTATACCAACATAAACACATTATAATTCCTTTCCTTAAATTATTTTCTTCAAAATAAAGGAAGTCATATTTAGTGCCTGAGGAAAGCTACTGTGATACATGGGTATCTGGGCCTCAGCTCCTGGTAACAGAAGGTTTAATACAGGTATCATTTCCAGTGAGCTATAAGAAAGTGAGTGGCATAAGAAAGCCTTCAGTGAAAAAGCTCAGTGATTTATATGAGAGCAGTTAAAACATTTGTGGCTTTCTGTATTAGTTGACCAAGTACTTTGCAAGGAAAAGACTGTGTGAACATTAATAAAACATAAATACTGTAAAAATTTATTTTGCAAGGTAAATGCATGCACTTCTTAAAGGATTTGTGCTACTGTAATGCTCATTAAGAAATCTTCTGAAAGGCTTTAAGTACAAATCAACAATTCTTTGCTTTTTTAAAATGGAATTAAAATCCCTCCCTCCCCCCCAGTACAAACAGGTGACTGTGATCAAAGAAACCCTGTAGCTGAAAGGATTTCCAACCAACATCACTGATCCACCTTCTTCACTACCTGCCCCTCTCTTGGCTGGAACCAGGCTACAGTGAGATTATCAGGCATGAAAGGAAAGGAGAGAGCCATCACTTAATGTAATTCCTCACACAGAGGCAGCAGATGTCCAAGTGGATATCCAAGCCTAATGCTGATACGTAACACTGATTCCTGAAGCAGCATTTAACTAGGTTTCTGCAGCTGTAACCTTCAAGTAAAGAATGCCATTCACATGTTAAGGCACGTGGCACTTGAAGCAAGACACAGGTTCAATGATCCGGATGGAAAGACTCCTCACAATTCAAAGAACTCTATGTGTATTCTTCCTTCCATAAATTTCTCTATTGGACAGTCATTTAGAAATACCACATAGCAAGTTTTGCAGACTCTTAAAGAACTTCCATTTTTAAGCAAAATTTCAGCCTAAATTTACAACATCACAATATAATTTTCAAATTCTTAAAGTGTTTGCTCCGCTTTCCTTGTAAACACACTATGTAGCAAAATCAGAATTTACAATTCAAGGGAGACTGGTGACCCACATCGTTGGAATTCACACTTACGACTTCTGAGCATTATCTTATTTTCAGGCAAAGATCCAAAAGTCAAGCAGTATCTCAAAGCTAGTGCAGTTCTTGGAGGATCTTTTTAATTTATTTTTTTTTCTTCTTAACCTCAAGAACAGGGCAAAGATTTGCCACTGCTTTTGAACTGAAAACTTCTCCTTCAGTAGGAACTGTACTGTCATGGACTATTCCAACACAGTTGTGACATTACTTAAAAGTAACAGCATATGTCTATATATCATCCCCAACATCAACCTCTTCTCGACAAATCAGATCTTACATCTATGCTCTCACCCACCCCATCTTCTTAAAACCCAAAGAGCTCTCATCCATACGCTCATCTTCCCAACTTTCCTACATGTTAGGACTCCCCGGCTGCCTCAACTTACCTCTCCTACAGCTCCCTACATTATCCCAACCCAACCTCTTCCCTTGACACACCCAGAGGCTGGCAGCTACTGGCTCCCTTCAAGGTAGGAAATTCCTCTCCAGACTTGCCCAAGCCCGTATTCCACCGGCTACTCTGAAGTTGCAATGAGTGAGTAACTCAGGACCATTCCTCAATTTCTTACCACTTATTTCCAACTCTGCCCAGTGTGATTTCTTTCCATTGGCTGCTTCCTCTGAGGACATAATTGTGTACATCCTCCGTGGATCAGGTGGATCGTACTTTTCCTTGGTCATTCCTGTTGAGACAAAAAGGCAAATCATGAATTAAGGTATTATATACTAAGAATTCTTTAAAATGTAATTTCCGTTTCAGTTAAATTTCATATTGGATGTTCACTCCTAATCCTTTTCAGAACTTCAGAGAAAGATAACCCATGCTCATACACAAACTTCACTGATTAGGAAAAACTGCTGTAAAATAGAAGAACACCAATTCTCGACACTCCTACAATGGCAGACAACAGCCTAACCCCCCATCCAATAATGTAACAAAATCTGCAGACCAACATAAACATTTGTGTCCCACCACTTTTCACTGTGTCCTTAAATCAATCCATCCTGCCGCAGGTTCCTGCAGGAACCTTCAAAAAGTGATGATCACCCCCATCAAACAATAAAGAAAACACTTACTAATAACCTTGACTCTTTATCAGTTCCAGGCTTACTGCAACTCTCAACGTTTCACACAACTCAGTATCCAAGAAGAGAATGAAGATTTTTAAAAGATCTTCAGTTCTTTAAGTCTGCAAACAAGAGCTTTTAATCCAACCCTCACCCTACCCATTTCACACTGCAAGTATTCTACCTGAGGCAGACATTTCTACGTCTTTCTTCACCAGGTGTTTAACAGTGAAATGTAACTCCATTTCTCTTATTCTCTTTCATGTCAGTCCTGATAAATTTACCAAAACCATTTTTTTTAAATTTATTGTATTATTTTTACCATACCCAATCATGGACTGTGAGAGAGAAGTGGCAAAAATTCCTCTCCAAAAACTCCTTCCTCTCAAAAAAACCCCCCTTCCAGCTTTCCTGTACATCAACATATTTATACTTTCCCTCTGCCAAGAGAAGAAATTAAAAGAAGAAAAAGAGTATTCCTGGCTCTGTACTAAACCCTTATGCCATAAGCCTCCTTGTACCATGAGGCAGCTCTCCTCTGGGTTTTAGTCAGCTTAAGAAGAAAACAGGCTTGCATATATTTTAAATAAATAAATCAATACTATATTAATTTACAAGTTAGTTCAGTGTTTTCAAATTACATAAGAATTCCAATATAAATCACATTTATCTGAAGTAAGAGTAAAGTTTTTGCATGGCATTATTTATAACTAAGAGATTTCATAGCAAAAATTTCACCATTTGGATTTGACATCCAAATATATACAGAAAGACATAAGCAACAAGCTACAAAATTATGTCTATGAAATAGAGGAACTAAATACTGCTGGCACAAATCACATTTACAAACACATTACAAGCATGTTATGCAATGATTAAGGAAAATACATTACAGCAATATCATAATACTACCCAAAAACATGCAATAAAGAAGAGGCTACACTGGTCAAAATCACGAGCACACCTACCTACTAGGGCTTTTAAAGCTTTTTATTTTTTTTCTTATCCCTGGACAAAGTGAATGTACTACAAAAGTGTTATAATTACGTAGAGAATAAACAAGGAATAACTGTTAGTAAACTGCACTATCAACCAGGCTTATTCTCTGTTTATTGAATTTACTGGAAAACATTTACTCTACACCTTAAAAAAAAGAACAGGACCACCCCCCCACACAAAAAAAACCCAAAAACAAAAACCCAAAACAAACAAACAAAAAACCCCAAACCAAAACAAAACCACAAACAAACAAAAACACCACCAAAAATCCCACAAAAACCCAAACCAACAACTTCCAGCTGTTGACACATCTTAATTAAAACAAAGCTTTTAGGCATCACATGCTTACTTTAACACAAAAGCTTTTTTACTATTTCCCACTCCCCCTTCCCTTCCCCAGTCCCACTACTGGTCAAAAACAGCTTTCTGCAGTGAAATTCCCCTTTAAAAGTGAATTGTGGGTAAAAGGGTGAGGTTATAAATAGCAGCTGGGTGGAGCTCCTTAAAGAATGAAGACACTTGGGTACCCAGGGTACTGGAATCACCAAGTGTAACGCTTTCTTCTTCAAACTAAGCTAATTAAAGGAGATAAGACAGGATTATAACTGCCAGAAAGGTAAAAGCGTAACTTCTCTCTGCTATAACTATGCAACTAGTAATGTATAGGGCATCTCCTTTTGAAGTTGCTGTACATAATTATCTAGAATTCACAAAGACCAATGCCACAGAGGAATGTCCCAGTTTGTCAGAAAACGTTTACCTTCCTTAGTCATTTCATGCCTTCTCTTCCTTGCAGCTCCCCAAATTAAGAAATACGTTCCAATTTTTCACGAAACGAAGCAGGTATACTGGAGACAGAAATCTCATTCAGTACAGAAACGCAGGCTCCCCAGAGCACGCTCAATCACATGCACTAATTAACAGCCTTGCTGGTACCAGCAGCGTAGCGCTCCTCGCTACCAGAAGAGGATGACACACTTTTCCAGCGGGTTTTGTTAATGTGTGCTAAAACAATTAGAGATTTAAGAATTTGAGGTTTTAACACTGGATCCTGGTGACCCTGCTCTCCCTCAGGAGCGCCTCCCAGCTGGAGGAGCTGCTGGTGAGCGGCAGCGTCACTGGCATTGGCCACACCAGAGCACCAAGGACACTGTCACGCCAAGCGTTGGCGCATCTTCAGCCATCACACAGAGCTCAAGATTTCTCGGGATCTGACAGTCAGGCTAAATGTGGGCTGTATTTCACAGGCCATCATAAAGCACAAGTGCAATACCTTGAACTGCATTTCAAAACTTCACAGAATGGAGTAGTACAAGAAAATCGGTCTCTTCTACAAGTCGCTGTCTCTTCTCTTTTCTCCACCTCCCCAAATCCAAATTTAGAGCCTGCTGAGCTGTGACAGCTAAATGTAAAAGCTGGGGTAAACATCAGATTAAGCGCTAGAGTTTTCTCAGACTAAAGCAATTTTAAGTAAGCGCTATAAAATGGTGTTGAAAAACCTTAAAGTCATTGGTAACTGCAGCTTTAAACTATCATGATGATCACTTTCAAGAGAGGTTACACCACCTGTAACTTTCAGTTACACCAACACAGATGGTGGAAAGCACCACCGAGTATTAGGCTGTTACCTCATGCAGTAAGTTAAATTCATAAAGGAGAAAAATCTTTATAAACAAAGGTATGACACAGACTTCCAGAACACACCCTATACAAATTTAATGAAGAGGACACTTAAATATACCTGAATGCAAATGAATTGTTTACTCTCTTGTACCAGGTTACAAAAATTGTTATTTAAGTAGTTGTAAAGACAGAAGAGCTTGAGAGTTCAAGAGGAGTGTGGCTGACCCCAGGTCGTTTAGTCCCAACACAGAATAAGCACTCCTCACCCCAGAGGACTGAGCTAAACCAGGCCGCTGAGATCAACAGTGCAAAGGGTCTGACACAGGGAACTGGATCTCAAGTCTCCAGTGTAGACAGGTTTAAGCCCTCATTTGCACAGAGGGCACTGAGAATGCAGTAGGGGAGGGCAAGGCAGAGCAGGGGCAGGCCAGACCTTCAGGGAAAGGTGCTGGGCAACAATGATGAGGATAAGAAAGAAAAGAAGAAAAAACTGAAGGTCGTGAACTCAAGGGAGGGCAACCTGTTAGAAGAAGAGCTGACAAAGTTGGCTTACACAGCAGGGAGATGATGGAGCTCTGGCTTCACTCAGGAACAGAGCACGGAGACAAAGCCAAATGTCCACAGCCTGAGGTGCACCTGTACTGACAGCTGCCTGTCTGCAGATAAAAGCACTGAGTGCAGGCAGGTGGGGAGCAGCCAGGTCGTGTTTTAGAGACCTTTCCTGGACAAGAGCATGATCACTAGCAGCCCTGTGAGTGGGTGGCTGTGCTATGAAATGGCTACTGCTCTGCTCCTGAGGAGCACTCACAGCCACAGCACCAGAGCTATCAGGGGTACGGTGTCAGGAGGAGCTGGTGGCCTAGAAAAGAAAGAGCTGCCCACAGGAGAAGCTGTTTTAGCCATGCTGCTAGGTAAAGAATGAAGAGAGCTCAAGCCACTGCCCAGTGAGACCTCTAAATGGTAAGTCTTCTTGGTTAGGTGTGTGGAAGCTGGGCTATGAAGTAGTTAATGCTCCAGATCACCATGTAAACTACTGATAAGTTACACCTCTAAAATGGAGAGATGATAGTCTGGGGAAACTGCTCTGAGAGACAGGGCAGGGAAGACAGTGACTTTTTTCCTGTCCTTCCCTTCTGCCATTTTCATGAAATCAGAAGATGGTGGGGAGAAGGATTTAATCAAAATAGGTAGGTGAGTAGTTTTTTTTGAGAGTAAGCAGTAAGTGTTTTCTAAAAAACCAACTACTAACAAATACTACAGCAGTTCTTCCTTTCCTGAAATGCTTTCTTATAGTACTACAGAGAAACTACCTTTACTTCAAAATTAAATTAGACAACTCCTAGAGGCCAAGTACTATCAATCCTTTATAGTGTTAGCTTTGCTATAAATGTAGGTATCGGGATTGCTACAAAACTCTCCTAGAAACACAGGCTTCTTGCATCTCAAAATTTAAACTAGGCCAAGAAAACGTGAATTCTGAAACTTCACATAAAACAAGGAACAAGCGAGAGCAGCGGTTAATGTTCAGATGCAACTTTATCTGATCAACCATTCTGAAATAACGATTTCAATACTTAATAAGCAGCATTTACAAATATGTGAGTACTTTTAGAAATACCTCAAGACAGCTATGCTGAAGTATTACAACTCTGCTTTTGAAATCTCTTGACACATGTTGATTACTACTTTTGACTCCCCCACCCTTCCCTGATGTTACCCATCACTAACAAGCTGATGTAGGTCAGAAGACAGCCAGGAAGGGGGAGTAAACAAAGTAGCACCACACCTGATCAAGTGCAGAATTAGTCAAACTTCTTGCTACTTTAATTAAAAACAGTGGATAAACCATACAACTCTAGATCTGACAAAGTTTGAAGTAACAAGACAATTTCAGTAACTTTCTATTTATCAGTGCAGTACAGTCGTACCAAATAAATTAATTCTGGACTGCTGACAGATAGCAAGCTAGAATACAATCTACAGTACTTCCTAT